TCCCAGTCAATGGTTTTAAATTAGCTTTTTCTATTTAGTCAGTTCATGTAATAACACATTATCAAGTTGGAGGTGATTCACATAATGTCAATATCAGCGCAGGAGTGACAATTCAACAGATACAGATGAAATACTGTATACTTAGTATTAGACTTGCTTGTATTTTTTTGCACTTTTGTTATATATACAGATGTAATATTGTAATGTTAAAAAGCACTAAATACAGATGACCACTTAAATATTTGTGTTATAAAGAAATCACACTCAGTTAACTTTCCAAAGTCATTATATAAAGTTTAAAAGAGCTGGAACATTTGAGACAAAGCAAATACAACCCATATTAAAATCACAGCAGTGGTCTCAACACATTTCACCTCCTATTGATTCACACATGCAAGACTTTCTCAATGTTTGTCTCAGTATCTGTGTGGAGGTGCACAGACACCACATACATTATCTACACATCATGTTCTGGAAGCTGTTTTTAAGTCATTATTAAATCAAACTTGACAGTTTCTTGCCTAAACCGAGCCACAGCCTTGCATATTAATAGATGAAAATATGTGATACCCGATAGAAGCTGAAGAGATCTTTTTTTCTGCACTAACAACAGTATGCAAAAAGGCTGAAAAACACATAATAGTCCTCAGCAATGTATTGTTACTAATCTAGACAGAACAATGTGTGGATTCTGTTTGCATCAAGATTTTTGCACTTCCTTCCACTTATCAATGTCTGTAGGATGCGTGCATGTGTGTGAAAACATGTGGTATCTGTATCTGCATCTGTGGTTTCGGAGCCTCAGTGAAGAACAGTGTCAGCTGCTTGGTGCCTGGGCAAGTCAAAACCCAGCGTTTCATTTACTCAGAAAGCTGTTTCCTGGAAACACCGTGATTGATGCATTAGACAACCAACTGAACCCTACTTTGAGGCAGATTGGTCCAGTGATTCAGCAGTATTTTGAAGCCAGCACTAGTTTGCGTGATGACAATCTCTGTGCAGTCAAAGATGGAAGATGGCATTTTGATTCAGCGAGCAAAACCTCATGGCAGCCATGCGGATGTATCTACCAAATGTATTCCCGTCTGTTTGTCTGAGGTGAAATGAAGCATGCAGCAGGGGATTACCTCCAAACAATTGGCTTTTACAAAGTACCATGCAGTATTGCTCCTTTGAAAAAACTTGCTTATGGCATAACATCTATGACCCAATAGATGCAGAGCAGTAATCTGAGGTGTTCTAACAATGACCTGGTTGATTGCGCTGAGGCTGTAAATGCTGTTCCCACCAGGAAAGTGGGCACAGAGACTTGGAAACAGCTGATTGGCCTGCTTAAAGCCTTCAGCTTTGTTGAAGAAATCTTTAGCCAGCCTCCTTTGTACAGGCAGTGTAGAAAACACCAAAAGAAGTATGCAGGAGGAGAGACTTCCTGACAGCTCATTTAACATTCTGCCTGCTTTCACCCACTTAATCTGGAGCCCCCACCGTTCGCTGATTCTTTTATGAAAAACAGAACATCATGCCATCTTTCCCTTTATAGACAATTTTTTTTCTGACACTTCCACCATTATGGCCCTTCAGTGTAAACAGGAACTATCAACCTAGAAAGAACAAGTGGTCTTTTCACCACCGCCTCTGTACTGATGCCCCTGTTCCTGACATACTTGAGCCCAGTCATGTACATTAATAAATGATAGTGGCAGAGCTGACAGGTTTCACGCCCGCCTGGGCTCCAGCTGCAATTAGGGCAGACATGTCAGAGAGACAGAGCTCCACCGGAGATGGCCCAATCAACACGAGGCTGGCGCTGCCACTGTCTGGTTGAGCAGTGGTTGACAAATAAAGTCCCCTCAAACTAATAACAGGCGCAGACTCCACTCCCCCAAACTTACTGTGAACCCTCACTACAGACCTGTGGAGTCTCCTGTGTCTTCAGAGTTTAACAACCTAGACCATTTTACCAAAGGCGCTGCAGAATGAGGCCAAACACGGCGTCTCACTTTTTAAAACCTAACAAATCTCCAAGATTATAACAGGCCAAAGGTTTATCTTGCTGATAAAACTTTACAGCAGTCACCATAATTACCATACAATAATGATGTCAGCAGTAATTATAGATAATGTTAATTATACCTATGATTGGAGCAATGGGTGGAATATAATATTTTAGTGGTTATTTTAGCAGTTATGACTTATTCCAATATTAGGACAGACAGACCAATAGACACATTGATAGACACCCTCCTAGCTATGTTTGTTTGTCAGTGAAATAACAAACCCCACAAATGAATCTTTTAAGACCAGATGTTAATGATCAATGAGTTCAAGCTGTAACAAATATAAATAGATAAGAGAAAGTTGTACCATAAAAGAAGTGATTCATTGATGAGTAACGTTCCTCATCAGTAATTCAGGCCTACTGTTAGTTACATCCAGTTTATGTTCATGTACACACACATCTCCACATTTTCTGTAGTGCTGACAAATTCTTAGTGCACAAAACCACATTATAGAGTAAAACTGATGAACAGATCAGATGAAAAGACTTTCTATACAAGAGATAAATAAAGGGAGTTGCAGTAAACTTAAACAGCACCACAGCCCTTTGTCTGCTTCCAAAAGCCTGTGTAGCTCTATGCACATCGTATGTCAACACCTATTGCCTCTCCGTCTATCAGTTGCTCATTCTGTGTCTAAATGATGATAAAGAAAAGCTATGAATGTTGGTATAGAACAGTGAAATTAATTTATTCTCCTCTGCTAGAAATTTCGTTCGAGCCACGGATTCTGAAGCCTATAAATTCTATTTAATACTTTATCTTTCACCAAATAAGTAACGATGTCTCTTTATCTCCACAGTTTGTCCATCATTTATAACGTCCAAATGTTCAGCCAGCTTATGTCTGCTGAATATAGTACACTCCCTGGTATTACATTTATGCAGCCAAATCCCCTTTGGCTTGTTGCTTGGCATTTAGTATCATAAAGTTGCCCGTGGGTAAAACCAACCAACAGGGCCTATGGCCTCTCTGAGGCAGTATACTGTATCTAAATTACTTTCATTTAGAGATGAAAACACCGGTAAAAGGTAGAGGAAGAAGTGTTAAATTATATAGGTCACAAAGAATAATCTTCAATCTTATGTTTGATAGCCATTTTGAACGTGCTAAAAATAGCTGTTTTCAGCCTATCAAATACAAATATTTTCAGCTTTATTCACTTCCTGTATATATCATTGTAAACTGAATATCTTTAGGTTTTGGACTGTTGGTCAGACACAAAAAGACATCAGTGAAACTTGATAGATATTTTGGATATTTTTCACTGTTTTCTGACATTTTCTAAACTAAAATAATAACAATACATCTCCCAATAACAATTGGGAAATTAATCAATAATAAAATAATTAATTGATTTCTCAATTTATTGTTAAATATATAAAATGTTAGAAAATAGTGAAAAATGACTATAACAAGATCCCAAAGCCCAATTTCCTGTCTCTGAATGTGTTGTCTGTCCAAAATTCAAAGATTTTCAATTTGCAATGTTCTAAAACATAGAAAAGCCGCAAATCCTCGAAATATGAAGCTGGAGTCAGAGAATGATTATTAATTAATTATCAAAATAGCTGGTGACTGACTCCCTGTCAATCAACCAATCAATACATCGATTGTTTCACACCTACTCTTAACAATGGGCACTGTGAGACATCATCAGTTGTCAGGATTCCTTAAGTTCAGTTAAGGCATCTGATAATTCATCATTTGGTATATACTATAAATCAAGTGCTTGGTTATATAGCTATGAGACAACATAGATTTACTGTTATTTAGATAGAGTATGCCACACTGATATAATATGCTATGTAATGCAGGACCCCACTATACTGGATGATCAATAGGACCTAGTGAAGGACTGAACCATGACTAATGTGGTTCTTTTGGCTGCTCACGACCTCTGAATTAGACCATAAACAGACCTGCTGTGTTCAAAAGACAAACTAAATCTAAAGATTCAGATCGGGTCTCAGCCAGCTCAGTGTAATCTTGCGGAAAACAATTTTGTTGCCACACTGAAGCCTCAGAAAAGGAGAGGCTTTAGACTGTCTGAGGGTGTGGGCGAGTGGAGCTTGGGATGGAGATAAAAAAAAACAAAAAAAACAACAACAGATAAACCAGATACGAGTTTCCACAAGATCATAAATTAATGTCTCATTTTATGTCATGCTGATATTTAATTTCATACCCAAGCAATTTTATTCATTGAGCAAGTCAGCATGCAGAAACACAAACTTGGTCAGCCCTCAGCAGGCAGACTGGAACAATACCAGGGCAGGGAGACTGCAGCCACACAAGTTATCTCATCGCCACTGACAACCTGGGTGTGTCTCTACACACAGGAATATTTACCAACTTGTATCATCCCCAGCATCAGACCTGATTCCGCAGATATTCAGTCTCATTTACCGAGCACTACTCATTTGCAACTGATGCTGTTTAAATCCTAATTGCTGATCCGGGATGTTTGAAACTAACAGCCGGCTTAAACGCTTTACAAGGCGGGCGTTAACATTACTAGTCTCTCAGTAATTTTACTGTTAAACTTAGTGACTGCAGGCTACAATTCACACACTCCGGTCCATTGTGTGGAGCCTCACAAGCTGGTAATTTGATTAAAAAGAACGCCCTCCCCTCCCCAGCCTCACTATCACAACCTGAAGCCACTAATGTCACAAATGACATTGAGTTTCTTCTTCTTCTTCTTCTTCTTCTTCTTCTGCTTCTTCTTCTTCTTCTTCTTCTTCTTCACTCTGAACCGTTAAACTCAGACGAGAGGCAAAACCGCGAGACAAGCTAGCTAACCGTTTCTACAACTTGCTGACTGGCCACCAGCAGGTGCAACGGGTTCACTTGACTCACGACTAAAAATAAAAAAAAATAAAAAACTTAATAAAAAATTTTTAAAAAAACAACTTCTCAGGAGAATTAAACATGTCTTACCACTTTGCTCCCCCAGAAAGACGAGTTTGAATTTTCTTAAGGGGTTCCCAAAGTCACTGCCCACGGACATTTTGAGGAGGACGAGGAGGGGGGGAACTCTGGACACCGGAGGACAGTCTGAGTGCACTTGGTTCCCACACGAGTTCGGTGTTGGTCGGTGAAGATGCTGGATGGAAAAGACGGTGATGTTGCTTCCTTTTCAACCCCCCTCTCGCTCTCTCTCTCTCTCTCCCTCTCTCTCTCTCTCTCTCTCTCCGTGATGGGAACACACTGCTGCTGCACCGGTCCGTGACGCTTGGGGTGTTTTTTTTTTTTTTCCGCCGAACCCTAGGCCTTGTGCGCATGCGCGGCCTCTCCTCGTTCTCCGCTCAACTGACAGCCGTGATATAAAATGACGTCATGTGTGTTGGAGGAGACAGGGAGGGGGCGGCAGACATGTAAAAATGTGCTGCTGGGCCCCAGTTTCGTGAACTTCTTCTCATTGTTCAACACAAATTATACAAATAAATTGGCACAAATTGTTAACTATCAGACATGCAGATGTTTGTGGTAAAAAAATAAATAAATAAATAAATGTAATATTTTATATGACATTTAAGGGAGCACTGCAGAAGAGAAGATATCCAGATTTTTAGTCTGGATTAAGCTCTAAAACCACTAGCTCCTACATTTCCCAAAATGCAACTTGATATAGTTACTTGTTAGACTTTACCTACCTGGTATATTACATACCTGTGTTTATATACAGATTCACTGTATAGTTATTCTCAATACTCATCTATACAACTCCAACAAAGCACCTAGACATAAAACTATACACAAACTAGTCTTGCACAACCATGCATGATCCATCTTGTTGGCTGTTTTGTGTATTATGAAACACATTCCATGCCCGTGAGAAAGGTTTTCCATTAAGGGGGAGATTAACCTGTAGATGCCCAAGATCCTGTTAAACATAGGGCTTCAGGTAACGGTCTCTTTCATCTTCAATTAATCTGTAGATTATTTTTTGATTAAATATCTAATCAATAATGTAAGAATATAGTGGAAAATAACAACAAATTTGAAGTGAATTAAAATACCAAACCCAAATGACATGTAGTCCACCTGGGACATTTAAGTTTGCTCATTTTGCAAGGTTGGTTATCAAGCCTTTGAGACATAAATAAAGACATGAATAAAATACATCACACTAACTTGATTACTTGTATGTAATTGTATATTTTTTTTATTAGCCAGTAATGCTCAGTACATCTAATGCACTCCACTGTTATAACATCCATATAACCACACCAGTAGATAGCATAATGCGTAGAGTTAATACTGTAACAGTTTATGTACTGGATATCTGAAATCACAATAGAAATGCATTTAAATCAAGTGTTATATGTGATGTTATATGAAATGAGTATTGCAGTTATCAAAGATGTCTCTTTGTATGAGACAAACATCTATAAAAAATAAACTTAAATATTAAGCTATACAGTTAATTAGTTACACAGTATGTTTCCATTGCAAATAGAAACCTGAATAGGGTCCTACCTCATAGGAACAAGTAATATACAAAGATAATTATCTGTTGTTTTTATCATTGGTCAGACTCTCGTCCCAGTCTCAGATCCATATAAAATGTTGTGAGGTACCACACAAGAGAGGAGTTTTAGCTGCCCTCTCTTCGCTTGTAATGAGTGGGTCATATTGGCAGAGTGATTCCAATCATAAGCCTTAAAGCATCCAAAAACGTCACAAATCTTCCTGTTTGGAAAATATATATTTTAACTCCAACCAGTGAAGCACCACGTAGGGAAGTGGTGCTTTGAAACTGAGGTCAGCGTAGGCCTGTCTTGGCTTGTGGCTTTCTGCCACTCACAGCTTTTCTCAGCAAACTGTTCTTCCAAACGTTTAACACCACAGCAAAGCTTTAAGAAACAGAGAGGCCTCCATCAGCAGGGTCACAGCAGTCCTTCGGGCCTCTTCTCCAGACTGTACTCCTGGGTCCGATGCACCTTCCAGCCCAGCATCATCAGCAGAACGATGCCCGCGACCTTATAACCCACCTGTAAGCCCAGGTATCTGCAGTGGTCAAACAAATATAGAGATAAATGAGCGTCGGAAGTGAAGTTGCTCTACTGCGTATAAGTATGTGATATGTGAGTGACAATTATGATAAGTGATGAGTTTTCTGACCGGTTCCTCAAGCTGTTGTTGTCATAGTAACCACAGCTAGACTTCTTTCCGCACACACGCTTCCACGAGATACATGACGAATCAATGGCCATCCCGTAGAGCGCAGGGGCAGGTAGCCAGGCTGAGAGGGAGGAAGAGAGAAACACATTTATCTCCATACCGGAGGACAATCTAACACGTATGTAAAATGTATATTTGAATGTCATTGTATTGATGAATGCAATTCAAAGTTATATTTAATTACAATTAAATTTGCTGTAGTACCTAATAACCGCTACACATCCCAGTGACCTAGTAAAGTTACCAAATGTTATTTAAACTAATTGATTAAATTTGTTATCATTATACATATTTGTATTTCTAAATGCCCTTTTTGAAATATGTAATTTTCCCTAATGACACCTTTATTTTATTTCATGTTACTTTTGATAATATCATCTATTATTATTATTACATATAAACAATTTATAGATGGACATAAAACCCTAACAAACAAATAAAAAGACAAAAGAATAATGACATGAGTTGAAGTTTAATAAATTATTAAAATCAAATTATAATAGAAATTAGTTGTTTATGCAATTTATTCATGTGATTATTTATTTCATAATGTTCTTTTTTTATTTCATATTGGACACTTTGGGGCCCCATACAATGACAGTCAACTAGGATTTGTCAATTTGGAGGAAGCACTGAGCACTTTAACGTGAGGAAGTGTATCAGTTTTGTATTAATACAAGTATTAATTTCTCATTTGAATACCAAACAGAATATTTGTGTCCTGACTTACCCAACACTCTCATGAGTAAAAACTGGATTCCTATAGCAAATGACTTTTCCTCAGAAGGAACAGATCTGAAAAGAACAGGGGGGAAAAAAATGAAAAAGGTCAATACCTCATTTCCTAATCGTGTGCTGTGTCATTCAATACAATTCTGGACAACTATTGCAGTGATGAATTGGCACATTTGTTTTCGTATTTCAAAAACAGTCTTGTTTGTATTAAAAACACGCAGCTATTATACTTAATTTGTTCAAAAATCACTCAATAAATCTGTTTGAGCATCTTTATAAACCTTTGTGAAACTCATTTCTCATCAAACTTCTGTCGCAGTCTATTTATTTTCCATTCACTCTTGGCTCTCCTATATTGAGCGCCAAATGCATTCATTTATTAACCTTTGTATTTGACTTTTTGTTGACTTCAAGAAGTGCCTGGCAGAGTCAGTATAAAACAAGAACAGCTCAGTGTTCGACTGCAGCAGTTAGTGGGAGGGAAACGGTCATAAAAGCCTGAGTGTAAAACACAACAGAGGTCCACACAGGCTGGGCGAGAGAGCGGTGGGATCAGAGTTGGATATGTTTCACAGAAAAGATAATAAAAATTATATTGAGTCAATGTTGCCTGATAGAGTACTTGTAGGCAATTAGATTGAAATATGAAGTTCATAAAATCACTAGTAAATATCTGAACAGAAGGGCAAACAGATTGCATCACACCATCCATCAGATCAACGCTGATCATTTTGAACTTATTTTGAACATATTAAAATATATAATATTAATCATTACTAATCAAATATACATCATATATTGCCATCCTTTCTCACCTGAGCACCATCATGTACATGGGGTTGTGCGTGAGGCAGGCGATCAGCGATGCCAGAGAGATGACGAGTATGACGGGGAGAAGTAAGTGAGGGCAGCTGTTTGGACACGGAGCTGGGCGGGCGTTACTCTGGCTCCCAGATATACACCTGCAGTTGGTGTATAGCTGCAAAAAGAAAATGAAAGACAACTTTTTACTTTATGTTGTACTACCAGCCGCTGTAATACTCATTTTTTGCCACTAGGGTTTAACAAAGTGCATCTGCTCAACCTAAAACACTTAAAGGGGGGAAAGTGTAAACTCAAACTAACCTTACTTGAAACAGCTAGTCCATAATATTAATGGGTGATAACAATTAGCAGGTTTAACACGTGTATTCACAGGATTAAGAAAAAAGAGGTGACTGTACAAAGTTTGAAACAATAATGTATTTGAATTAATGATATTATTATTATTTATTAAGGTTTGATTTTCTACCCTCAAAGAATACTTAACCTGCCATAAAAATATATTTATGTTGTCATTTGATTCGTTTTGTTTGCACTTATTATTTATGTGATTTATTTTATGATTATATGATATATTTTCTTTTGTTTGTAATGGCTCTATGCAGGATGTAGGAACTAAGTCATGTGCAGCCAGCGAAGTATCTTTATTTACTTCTCTATGTGTCGTCGTGCTTGTTTATGTGTGTGTGTGTGTGTGTGTGTGTTTATTTTGTACAATATCATGTGTCTAATTAGTTGGACGGTGGCGGTGTTGATGACGGCGCCGTTTGAAGAAGAATCCATCAGGAAGAACAAATAGTGTTGTCGTCTATTTCCTGGAGGGAGTGACAAATACCATTTACCTTTATGTTAATTTATACAAAATACAGACGTAGCTTATGAAAAAATATTTCCAGACCTTTCTACTGGTATCTAATTGAATGCCACTTTCAGCTGCTCACTTGTGAACATGTGAGTCCGCAAGAAAGGGAAAATAATTATTCAGTGATGTTCTTGGGATTAATCCATTAAGCTAGTGGTGGCCATCGCTCTCTGTGTTTGTGATTCAGCATTACACAGTGGGCTTACATGCTCACTCAAACTGACTAATGCTCTATTAGCAGTCAAACAATCCACCCACTGGAAGATTATTCACAAGCTGTGACGTTAAAATACTGACGTTTTGTCCTTCTCAAACACCGCCCATATGCCCTGTGACTAATAAACATTGATTGTGGGGCACTTGTGTCCTGTTAGGAGCAGAAGCTAGTGGCTGAAGAGACAAATTATGCTCTCGGACTTCATCTCACTGCTCCTGCATAAAATCTCTGATCAATTCAAGGACCATATGGCAGATATGTAATGCTGTCTCAAATCTAAAGAGGCCAAAGTCACTTCCTGTTCCAAGCGTCTACTTGAAAAAAATAGAAGAAGAAAGGTTCAAGAGAGAAGTCTGTTCCCTGCGGAGCATATTTCAACACAGACTCAATGCATCTTAATGGCATTTTATCTGCAGTATGTACTCAGCGGCAGTGCTGTCTCTGCCACTGAGTACACAGTTAAAGGTTAATTACAACCTTACAGGCTAATTTACAGATCCTGTGCTAGGACAGGAACCAAATGCCTATCCCTTCATCCCACACTGAGAAAATTATTAAAGAAGAAAATATATGTATATATATATATATATATTATATGAATATCCTGATGTAAAGACAAATTCTCTTCATTTTTTTTCTTTTGACTAAACGTATCTGCCATTCCTATCTTAGATTATTTCTCTGCATCAGGTCGTTTCACTGAGGATTTAGTTGTATGATCTTATTCTCCACATTTACCCCGGATTCAGCCCCCTATCACAAATACTGCATGTCCTAATACCATTATATCATTGTTTGCTAATGTTACATACAGTATATCAGTATACAACAGCCTAACCTGCAGGTGTTTTTTTTTGTACTGTAGGAGGAAACCACTGACCTGAACCCTGTGCGTGTTGTTGGGGTCTTTGGTGAAGTTGGTGCAGCCCGCATGACAAGGAGAAATGTACTCGATACCGTCGGACCCACACACGGGGTTGAAGGCGCTGTCGGGACAGGAGCAGTCGGAGTAACACTTGTATGGTGACCTGTGGCGGGCACAGAGAGAGAGAGAGAGAGAGAGAGAGGGAGTCAAACAGAGACAAGTGATTGGGACTGAAGTTCACAGCTGATGTCTGAGCTTTGTGTTCGCCTGCAGAGTCAAACACAAGCCTTTTGTCTGACATGTTAAGATAATAATTTCAAATGTAATTCAACTCATGAACACATACATTTTGAGTTATGAAGCAAACTGAGCGTTTTTTTATTCATTTTATAGTGGAGCTCCAACATTTTAGTGACAACAGTTGCCAAGTTTACTCAACAGGTTTGTGAGGCCTCAGGGATACATTTCTTTGTTCACAAGGAAAGATGAATTTTACTTGTTTTGTTTTTTTTTCTATATACCCCAAGCAAGTTTGAAGTAGTTCTGAAAGGTATAGGAGTTTGGCTCAGTGCAGCCTGATTCTTGGCTTGTACAACCAGCATTTTACATACTGATTCAGTCGCTAAGGAATGAGATTATACTGTATCGTGTGTGCCGTGTACCGAATTGGCTTTTAGGAACAATCCATCACTCCCTGGTTTTGTTCATTATCCCACCGGTGCATCCAAATAAAACAAAATACTCCCGTCTGTTAATTGCATTGACTTTCCAAAGATCAGTAGTGAGGTGAGATGAAAGTTTAGGACTTGGCGAGTTGCTGTTGGGTGCTATAACAAAAATCAAATCAAAAGTTTGGCTCCTCAGTAATAGAATAATTTCACTGCGTTTGAGTCATACACAGTAAGTTAGGCCGGCTTTATGTGACTCTACATGTTACCAAACCTCACACTCACCCGTGCTGTCGGACTTGATAATGATTGACCTCTGAGACTTTCTGGGTGGGACAGCCCATGAAGAACAGAGGGACACAGAGGAGGGTGGAAATGGTCAGCATGACCGTAGAGAAACGCGGGATGGTCTTCAGAGACAGACCTGTCCTCTTCATGATGACCCCCCCGACCAGCATCCCCACTGCCACTGATGGCAGAGTCACAGCACCTGGGAACCATAAACACTTTAGTTATCTCCAAGTAAAGATGGCGTTTATTGTCTACTAAAGATGTCCGAAGGGGTTTATTAAACATCATGCACTCATTCACTTTAATCGTAAGCTGACACAAATGAGATGTGGCGCCTGAAAATAAATTGATTGTTGCAAAAGGGCAAAGTTAAAAGTACGGACAAACCCCAAATAAAATTTTCATGTGAGAAAAGATGGCAGCGAAAACTTAATTCACGGTTTGGAAAGTGGCCAAAGTGCAAGTGGGCTGAGACACTCCAGAGCGTCCATTAAATGATTTTAACAGACTGTTTTATTTCACCTCCAGAGAGGTCATAAAATGGTTTCATATATATATATATATATATATATATATCATGCTTTACATTATTTCTTGAATTATTTAACAGCCAGCTGACACTGACGCCAAGGTCAACTGTGATCTATCGCAGGATCTCCCGAAGCTCCGTCTTCATATTTGCACTCTTACAGGACCTACCTATTAGCAGGCTGCTGTAGGCGGCCGAAGTGCTGTACTGCCGCTCCAGAAACTTGTTCAGGAACGTAGAGAGACCCGCAATCACCGAGGAGAAGCAGCACTGGGCCAGCACCAGCATCAGGAAGAGAGGGCTCAACAGGAGGTGGATAAACATCCTGGGAAACACTGATTACACACAATCACACACAGACACCCTTGATTGGTACTGGAAATCAGCAAAAAAAAGTATCTCCACCTATTTATCTGTTACAGAACATGTTAACAAAATAAAAACTACGTTAAGTTTTTATATGAATCTAACAGGTGGAACCTTCGCAGGCTGAATATAACACACTTACTTTTCAGGAAATCAAGTAAAGAGATATCTGGCTTCTTGAAGTCGTCGTTCATGTCACTTTCACTTTCACTTCCAATCACCTGGAAAATGACATGTGTGCACGCATAATTACAGCATCCATTATGCTAAAATAACATAATAATGATGAATATAAGCAAAAATTACAATAATTTTATTACAATTACCACTGCACTTAATTATATGAGATTAAATGAAAAACCCTGAGGCTGCTGAAAGATATCTTTTATTATGGAAATGGTAGCTTTCTACTGACATTTGTATCAAATTGGTATAAAACGGATTAAACTAAAATCCTTATCATTTGTATTTTTCTTTTTACCAGGTCAAGTTCTGGACAAAGCCAGATGAGCCTGAATGTGGTTTAACAAAACATAAGGAGGAAATCTCTTTTTCTGCAACTAAAATATTCTGCAGATTGTTCAAAAGATTCACAAATCCAATAAAATTAATAATAATATAAAATAAAAATATACATAAGACAAGAATGTGTTCAGTGACATGATATGCCAGTTTTATAAATATCATAGAATGTGCTGTGTGAACTGGCTCTTGAAATCCGCCACACACGGCTAAACCCGTAATGCAAGGGGGGGGGGCAAAGGAGGAAAAGAGAACTTGCTATACTTGTGTATGGCCAGTAGGTGTCAGTACAACATGAGGGACATACAGTAGATAAGGAGAAGTCTTCCAATTTTACATTTTACAGTAGAAGAAAAGCAGAAAAGGATAACAGCTTTAGATGATACAAAAAGATAAATTCAATTACTGTTAAGACCTAAAACGTGACTGTACTGCACCTCTGAGAGAGAGAGAGCGAGAGAGAGAGAGAGAGTATGACTTACACTGTCTTCTGACGGCATGCTACGAGGGAAGAAGAAGTAAGGGATGGAGGTGAGAACCAGGCAGCCAGTGGTGATGAGCAGGCCCATCCACCAGGCCCCGACCCAGCGGGGATCGCTGTGTCTCAGCTCTAGATCGGCTCCTGCAGGAAACAGTTGTGAGTCAGTGAAGCGTCTTAAAGCCGCTTTGACTCCGTCTGTGGAAAATAGCGGGATCGTTACCTAAACCGAGTCTGTCCACGTCCACGTAGATGCGCAGCATGACGGAGCCCAGCAGGTAGCCGATGACGGGCCCAAACACAGACACTGCAAACAGGATGGCTGCGGATGATAAGATAAGAAGGCCCGTGAGGCGGTGTGTCTATCCGCTGAAAGCTGGGAATATTCTGTGAGAAGTGATTAGCATTTTGTGTCGGAGTACTTTGGCGTTTACGCATCAACGGCCCTCAAATTTTGAAGAAGGAAAAGTTTTCTCTTCCCCTGACTTGCACTAAGCACTAATCAGCGCTGAAAATGTGCACAGGAAGACCAATCAGGTTCAGCCTCTTTCAAATTAGTGATTTCACTCGAAAACATTGTGAAGGACACCGATATAAATGCCAGCTAATTTAGGAGTCATCTTGTCGTTGCCTGTTGTTTGAACTTGGTGAAAATCAGCCACTGTGCCAGGAAGACAACAATGGAGGCAATTAAGGCTTTATATATATATATATATATATATATATATATATGTAGGAATCTGCTAACTCTTATCATGCTGCTGTTTTGTGTCTCTGCCTCGTGCACTGCAGGAGACGCAGTGATGACTCCATTTAAAGCTCAGACACTGACACTGACGCTTGCAGAGTCAGACGCTAATTGGAAGTTTTTAACTGTGTTTGTATCGGCATTAAAAGCGGAGATCTTTGAAATGAGAAAATGTTTTCATGTCTGTCTCCGAGGCCACATATCTTATTGTAACTCCCTTCACAAGTTAACGTATTGATTGTGTGTATTAAAACAAAGCGAGGCCTCTTTTTTTTTCAACAGAAAGAACAAAACATTAGTTCTCAGAGTTGAACTACTCAGAAGTGTAATCGGATTGGGATATTATATATTTAGAGTATTTTGACCAATAAAAAAGAACTTTAATGTGCATCAGTTTTGCTCTTTGAGCCTCAATATATGAAAACACTGATATTGCAGATAGAGTCACCCGGTGTAACACCGCGGCCCTCAGATTGTGTTATCTAACCGAATCAATCTATCTCTGAACTACAGGCCATTCACCTATGTAAAGAGGGGAGTTGGCAGGTCCTGCAAAATCATCTATGTAGGAAATCCCAAAGGGCTGGATCGGCACCGAGCCCACACCGAAGAGCAGCTGCGCGCTGGCCATCAGCAGCCACACGTTGTTGGTGTCGGTCAGACGCCTGGACTCGTCGCGGCCACAAGACTCGGAGTCGCTCGAGTTCTGATGCAGGTTGCAAATGTCGTGGCGATCTGGATTCACAGCAGGTGTTCACGCACGGACAGAGAGAGAGAGAGAGAGAGAGAGGGGACACACACACACACACACACACACACACACACACACACACACACACACACACACACACAGTGATAGTTAGTGACAAGCCAGTGGATGCAGATGTCCAACTACTTTAATTTCCTGAAGTTTCTCTGACTCTTCACTGACACGCTGTACGACGCCAAGTTACTTTGTCTGGGGGCAAAATGAATAAAAAGGAAGAGGGAGATTGTTATTACAAATGAAAATGCCCTGGGGGCAATTCTAATCTCCTTAGCTTTCAGCGAGTGCACAGCGATTAGGAATTTCCTTGAGTTTTATGCAAAAGTTCAGCTGGAGAGCAGCAGCAGGTTTTCTAAATACACCAGCGAGCCAAACATCAGATACTTGTTTGACTGCTGTGGAGCCTTTGCTCAGAATGCGCTGCAGCTTTTACACAAAGTAGAGTCTCATAAATTGCCCTGACATATTTGTACAATCATGAGCCCCCTGCTCTGGACTGAGTCACATTAGCTGTCAGTGGAGGCAGAGAAGCAGTAGTGTGCTTTGTGTTCTGTGCTGCGTCTTACTGTGTAAAACAGAGTCGAACTCGTAGGGCTGGGACAGGAAGTGGGGCAAGGTCAGGATCATGGCACTGATAGCCATCAGCAATCCACCAATTCCGATGACGCGAGGACGGTGAACCCGATTTCCAAAGTAGCTCACGAACACGATCAGCACGCTGTTACTGATCTGAGAGACGGACACAGGTTTCAAACAAGGCTCCGTTACAGAAACAGCTCTATAATTTAAACAATTCAGAATTTATGTTCAAGAAATGTAATAAAATGAATAGAAAAAGCTGCATTAACAGATCGTTTGGACGCTTGGGGGCAGTGTAAAATGTATTTCTGACCACCTGATGATGATGATGGAGTCATGTGTTCACTCTTCTGTTTACTCTGTTTTGTTCTCCACCAACTAAATACTTATAAATATCTTCACTATGTTCACAAGGTAGCTGCTGACTTTCTCTGTTTCTGATGATGATGATGATCAAAACCAAAACAATGAGCTACAAGATGCTAAAGAAAAAATGCTAAGAGGAACTCAGGTGATAATTACTCTCTGCTTCCTTTTTTTTTAATCAATTAAGATAAAAAATATTGCACATAGCAGCTTTTAAATAACCACATTAGGAGAAGATGCAAAACCAAAGTGAAAAGTCCTGGTTTGATCTGTGTTCTGATGAAAAAATATCATTCAATCAAATCAGATTCTGATGAATGGCACTGGGACTTCCGAGTGCAGCCAAATCCTGACAGGTCCTGAGCTGCAAAACAGCTCAAAATGGCTAAATGTCAACATAGTGATTTAATTAGTGAAAAAAACTGGAAAGCTTTTATCTATGGGATGAATTTAAATCGCTTTATGCTTGAGCATTAAAAAAAAAAAGAAAAAGAAAAACCCCAGCACCTTCCAGGACGAGCATGTAGAGAACTTTCCGTCATTACCCCCGGGCCCTGTATCTGTAATAAAGCTGTTCCAAAATACTTGAGTCCTGCTTGAATTGTTAGGAAGTGTGATTTTCGATGTGTTGCCTGTTCTCCAATTCCTCCTTTGTCATCGGTATCCTTGAAATAAAGCTATCATGATCTCAAACTGTGTGAGGGTATGTTGTTGTTGGCTCCCACCTCGTTGAGAGAGGAAATGGTTCCCGAGGAGTAGCTGCTGAGGCCGTAGCGTCTCTCAATGGTGGTGATGGTGCTCTTGAAGTAGGCGCTGTACAGCAGCTGAGAGAACTGCAGGAGGCCGTGGCACAGGACGAACAGCTAGGGCAGATACACAGCGCAGGAGGCGTGAGAACAGAAATACTGGCATGTAAAAAGATAAGAATAGACAGACAGAGAAGAAGCGTAAATCTGAGCAGAAAGATGCTTAATACAAATGTCCCCTATGCACAAAACAAAGTACAAAGTGGGAGGAACCAGAGCTCACAATAGGTTATAGTCATAAATGTCAACTGTATGTTTTGAGCAATCATCTGCAAGACACATTTGTCTGGACGCACACGGAGGCAGAACAGACTCAGAGCCATGAAACGTTTTCCTCCTGAGAGGTTTAAATTGTTTTCAAGGAACCACACCATCGTCCCATGTGTGGCTGCTCTGGTGTTTTTCAACCCCTTGGCTTGCAGTCACATGACATTTGGTTCACCCGGTGGAGGCGGGAAAGATCGGAGAGGCATCATTGTCTGTGTAGTAGTAGGAGATCCGTAAAAGCTGAGAAACCAAGCGGCTACACAAAATAAAAGCAACCGAACGCAACAGGAAACGACTCAGCCGCAAGTACAAGTCTGTACAACTCATCTACTTAAAAAAGGACATGAGTCATCGCAATGAGTTTTCTACATAACTATACAGACAGGGCTCTTTACAGTCGCCACAGACTTTCTCACATCCCTTCCCCAAGTGACTTCACGCCAATTGACACCTTGATTCATGTGACGTGACCCCGTGTTGGGAACAACCGGGATTCCCAGCGGTCAGTGAAGAAGCCTAGTGCGGAAACATCGTCTTTCCAAGGATTAAAGAATAGCAGTAAAACAAAAGCTCCTGCAAGTCATACAGTTTTAAAGACATAAAAATATAAACAAAAATATACTTAGGGACCAAAAGCAGAGGGACTAATTAAGCAGAATGGCCCATATTATTATATAGATAATCAGTATTGGTGATGTATTAGCACATTTTGGTTTCTAGCCTAGCGAGCTGTTTCCCCTTCTTCTTCCTGTCTTTGTGCTAAGCTAGGCTAACCGGCCATGTTTGTTTGGCCGACTGAGATAAGAGTGGCGTCAATCATCAGGAAAATACATTTCCCAAAATTAAAGGTTAAAGGTTAAAGGTTTTTATTTTGGTTTGTTTATCGATGGTGTAAAGTCATCAAGACTCAAGTGGAGTAGAAGTAAGGTACAAGTACTTAAGTACTGTGTTTAAGTTGAGTACTTGAGTAAATGGACTTTGTCACCACCTCTGGTCTCAGGAGCTGTTGTAGTAATTCGACACAGAGGCGTCTCATGGTAAAACAAGTTAAGATTCCCATGAAGCTAAACACTGAAACGACCAAATGTGCCATTCAGTGATGAGGTGTCGGTTTCATTCTCAGCCAGTTGCTTCGTTTCAGCCGACACTGTGTGCGTCTCAGACTGTTTGTATTTTGTCTCATGGACTTTTCTCTTCGCACCCAGAGATGTGCAGAGATCACAGTTGCCCGCTGGACGGACTCCCAGTCATCTGGGAGAGCCACTCGCCCGTCTGTGCGTCAGGAGGCGTTCATAGACACTACTGTACATGGGTTTATTCGCCCGGGGGCCATGAATGCACCAGTGACGCTAGAGATATGCGTTGAGATTAGGGGCGAATTTGCTATGAAAACAGTGATAAATCCAAGCTTTCAGTTTGTTTACCGCCTGCCAGGTCGGCTGAGGGAGAGTAAACTATGCGTTCGACTCAGAACAGTTAATGCTCCTATTAAAGCTTGGCTTTATGGTTTGTTAGCACGCACAATAGATGCTTTTATACTGTTGTTAATATTTCATCCTCATTTTGTATCAAATAGGGTTCAATAATCTAAATGATTGGACAGGACCTATTTGCTCAGGCAGGCAAAAAGCTCCTTTTGTTTGTGATTTAGATTAAAACAAAACGTTAGCGCTCCTCGACGCTTCAGGTCGACTTAAAATCCACTTCAGGCTTTAACAAAGTTGGATTAATGTTTATATTGCTGATAAGGCCCGTGTTTCAGAGGCGGCTCTCTGGCTTTCACATCATTTGGCTTTCACACTGGAAAGTTGTTTTTGACAAATCATTATCCATTATGGCGCAAAATTTCACCTTTATCTTGAGAAATGGCCTAAAGTGTGTTTTCCTGCACTCAATCATTATAAATCAACTCAATGACTCTCAATGGAGGAATGTTTAAAAAATATTGAAACCTTGATAAGATATTTATACGTTATTACAAGCTGTGGAAAAGAGAAGCAGCAGAAATAGGACCGGTGCTGAACGCCGCAGCGCGTCGACTCAGGAACAGGATTTATTATTTATCCACGCTGCTATTACAAGTGATTTAAGCCTATTTGATGTTCGTAAGCAGGAAAGTGGTTGTGTGGAGTTGGATCCTCCGTGGATTATGTACATATTTATCCTTCTTGAACGCTCTCAGCTCTGTCTGTCTGGAGGTTATTGTCCCAGCCTTCAACCCTGCTGTTAGGGGAAGAATTGAGGGAAGTTCACACTAGAATTTCAAATGCTTTTATTTCAGGGACACGTGTTGTAGCTATAATGCTGGATATCCATGGATTTCCATGAGGAAATCATTTTTTTCTTCTGTTTAAAAAGAAAAAAAAAATGCCTGACCCACTTGGTTAAAAAATGAAATAAAGGAAAAAGTGTATGAAGTCTCCCAGGATACTTGAAAGACATGAAAGCCCCAGAATCACCTCCCTTCATTGTGAAACAAACATAAAACAATTCTGCTGAACAATGGGCGTCATGAACAAAGGAGTGTTTTTGTAGATTTACAATATTTGGGAAAATTGTTCACTTTCTGACCGAGAATTAGATGAGAAGATAAGATGAGGTTACAAGGTTAGCTTAGTTTAGCACAGGGGGCTAACAGCTAGCCTGGCTCTGTTCAAAGGTAGCATCAAAAGAACTCTAACACACAAAACATTAAATCAAATCATTGTGAATTTAATCCATAAAGACACTAAGTTTTAAAAAAAACAAACAGTGGCAGGTTTACAGGAGGTCAGGGAGCAGCAGCGACTTCCTCAGGTTTTGGTTCGCACGTGTTAAGTTGTAAGAATTCAAAAAGTGAGCGCGTTAGACCGAGCAGAGACCGGCACGGCGTGTGTCTTTGGCTCAGATGTTTTTTTTTTTACAGAGGAATCCTTAAAGAGAGTTTGATGGTGTGGAGTTTTCAAGTTGCGTGAAAACAAAACAAAACAAAACAAAACAAAAAAAACCCCAGAATGTCCTGTTGAACCTGAGCAAACACGAGAGCAAAGCGCCATCCAGCATGTGCTAATGTCAGGGAAAAAAATGACTGAAATAAAATAAAGATGGATGGATGTGATTGCTCCCTGTGAAACTATTGTTGACCAGCTGGCTCCGCTGAGTGCAAAGTGATCTGATTTCATGTGAAAAGCAACTCAGCCAATTTTCAACTCGTGTTGCATTTACTGGACAGGAGAGCAGGCGTAATCAAGAGCGCTTGGCTTTTCACATAATTTAAAAGATACTCCTCTGTTTTCCACTCCTCAACACAGCAGGAGGGATCCTCTCTCAATATCACCTGCTTATTCAGAACTACTCCCTTTCTCTAAATTTAACATTTTAAACCTTTGAACTTGGTGCATTCACGCCTGTAAGGATGAGCCATACTGTTTCACTGTCCTCCACCCTATCTGTATTTGTACATGTCGGTTTGAACACAGGGAAGGGGGGGGGCTTTAAAGTGAAGATTTAAAAACAATAAACAGCGGACGATTTGCAGGAGCCGGACCCACCACAGTCTGGGTGAGAACGCTGAAGGTAAACACCCTAAAGATTTTTTTTTTTTTCTTCAAAATAAACCTTCACCATCTGGAAAATTTAGAAGTTGCTTCAAGTTGTCACTTACAGAATATACTGTAGGTGTATTAGTCAAGCTCCGTTCACACATAGACGGAAGAGAAGGCAAGTCATTTCTCACCGAGTTTTGAAAGCAACCACCAAAGTGCAGCGTGGAGTTTTGCCTCATTATTACTCACAGCACTGGAACAAACTGTTTCTCTCCCACTATTGCCATACAGTGAAGTACAACTGCTCCTGTTGGCACACAGCGCGGTTACACTACTCCCTCTGCACAGCCAGGCTTTATACTGTGAGAGCCAGAAGTGAAGAAAATATCGCAAAAAAAGAAAAATTATAATCAAACTGGACACAGCTACCAAAACACATAAGAGCTTATGTCAACACTGACTGAATCAAGTATTTAATTGTAAGAAAAACAATCATCTTCTTCTTTACAAATCCGTCTCAAGCAGACTGAGAGAAAATTAATCTATTCAGATAATAAATAAAATCACTTTTCATTTCATTTTGCTGCTCTTTTTTTTTTTTTATCACTATCTTACATTACTGTTCATTGAATATTCTGGAGTTTTTAAACTGTTGCTTTGACAAAACATCATTTCACCTTGGGCTTTACATCGATTCCTGATGTTTCACAGACCAAAATCATAACAACATGCAACAGATTCTTAATAATGACAACAATAATTAGTTTCCCTGGAAATGTTATTTCATTTTTCATACATTTACATTGGCAGTTAAGCAGTGAAGAGTGAAACACCTTGAATCTTTAGAGTAGTAAAGGCACAACAGCACAATTCCTTCAATCAGAGAGCAAAGATAAAAAAAAAAAACATTAATTTAGGTCAATAATGCTGATAATAAAATTCCTCTCAAACACAACGGTGGTGGAAAACTTTCTTTCCTTTCTTCTTCTGATGTCAAATTATGCTGAGGCTAATCCTTTCATGTGCATTCATGCAGACTAAAAACTGTAATTAAACCTGACTTTAAATTTAAATTAAAAGTTATGAGGCACCACACTTGAACTTTAAGTCATCAGGACTTGTTTGTCTAAGGTGAAGCTCTGTTTACTCTTGGCCAACACTACACACACACACACACAGAGAGAGAGAGAGAGAGAGAGAGAGAGAGAGAGAGAGAGAGACTCTGTCCTCAGGAAGAAGAAAAAACAACAAACAACAAACAGACAATGAAATAACTTTTGTGTTATTATTTGTGCAAAGTTATGTAATCCACTCAAAAATAAATCTAGTTCATACCGGTTACATAAACAATGAGAGGACCAGTGTCAGAGTATAATAGTATAGTATAGTGTGGTGCTGATGCCAACCTTAATGCTGCAGCGCAGAGTCCCGGGTTTCTTCATGTTCTTGGATGAATCTATGTCCATTAGCTCGGCTCGTGTCCTCACTCGCTCCTCTCAGCTCGGGGAGTAGAGAGCAGCCTCTCGAGGTTTGTGTCAGAGGGTTGATGGAACTTGTTTCTCTCTCCCCCCTCCCCCTCCCTCCTCCCCCTCCTCCTCCTCCTCCTCCTCACCCCTCCTCCCCCCTCCCGGTGAGTTTGCGGTGCTGCTTTATGACCGTCGGTGATGTAACCGGGACTCTCGGCCCCCGCGGCTCCACGCGTAAATGTTTTTTTTTTTTTGTTTGTTTTGTTTTGTTTTGGTGTTTTTTATTTTTTTTTATTTTTTAGCTGTGAATTGGGAACAGACAGTCCCCGCCGCTGATTGGCTGAGTCATGCGCGCGCGCGTGCAACAAGTTCACCTGTCAGCTGGGCGCGAGACCGAACGCGCTCAGCGTGATATTACAAAACACACACACACACACACACACACACACACACACACACACACACACACACACACACACACACACACACACACACGGGACAAACGGCGGGATTCATCTGTGTGCCTCTTACATGTTAATCGTTGTCATCCTTCCAGTGAAGCCGCCGCTTTGTTCTCCAGCAGCTCAAACAAGCTTAATGCTTCATTAATTGCGGAATGCGGCTTTCCTGAGCTGTTTCCGCCCGGAGCTAATGAGCAGACGGCCCACTGATGAATGTACCCCGGTGGGACTGCGGAGCTGAGGAGGGGGCCTGCTATTTATTATTATTAGTAGTAAACAATTCAAAGTTTAACTATGTGTTAAGTTTCTCCAGGTGAGTCCTGTGGGTTTGTTTGTTTTAATCACTTCAGTGTGAAGGAAGAATGACCTTTATTTATTTATAGACACAGGCTAGATAGATAGATATTTTTATTCCACTAAGACTATCCGTCATAGAACCATTTCTTTTAGTTATTTATTTGTACAGTTATTTATTTGCACTTGTGATGGTATTTTCCTGTGTTGTTTTCTTACTGTCCTTCTCATTATAGTGATAGTTTTTCTTAATGTGTACTAGTAGTGAACTTCTCTGTTTATTTAATGTCTACTCTATGTGCCTTTTTTGGGGGATTAATAAAGTTTATTGAACTGAATTGAAATGAATTATCTGCTATGAATATTTATTTGCCGCTGCCCCCCCCCCCAGTTTAAGTTGTTGCTGAAACAGCTTTCCATATAGAGACGTAAGATGTATGTAGCCTACGGATATTAACTATTGCAATTATCCAATTTAACACCCAAAATATACATGAATTAACCTGCCAAATTCCCCCAAAAAGCTGATGATCTCAGTGTCCATGCTGGTAGCTTCGGGCCTGACAGCAAGAATGATATAATAACACTCTGTAAGGTGAAGAATCACAAGTCCAGCAGGCTTCCTGTCATGGATGAAGAGTGGTGTACATGGCAGTTTATTGTCTGCCTCAGATAAAGTTGGATGTATTGATAGTCTGAGGTTGCACAATGGAGTTAAAAACAAAGCAAAACAAAAAAAAAAAAACCCCACACACGTATGACATCAAATGGAGAGAATGAATCCTGTCAAGATGAAGAAATACATAATTCACAAGCTTTCACGCTTCCCCTTCTTTTCTGATGTCATAGATGACGTGATCAGATGTTGTTAGACCTGGTTGAGCCAGTATTCCCTCTCAGCAAGGCCCTGCCTCTGTTTCCACTCTCACTGTGGGACATTGTCTTGACAGGTTTGGACAGTGGCCTCCGTCTGAGGCCGTTTGCACGTCTGTACAATATCCATCCGGACGCAGACGCTCAACTGTCATGAAGGTGTTGTAAGGCAAAACCAAACTTTTCCACACTCTGCAGTCACAGAAAAAAAAAAAAAAAAAACACCTGAACACACAATGGATCAAGTGAAAAGTTGAAGCTAATGCGACACTCACGGTGCATCTTAATTATCTATTATAGATTATACCGCCTCTTATCGTGCCTCTGTAATGATGCATTATGAGATTATGTTGATATGGGTTTCAGAGCAAGCATTTCCCATGAACTAATAACCTTTGGTCAAATAAAGTGGTTACCTAGCAACACAGATATTGGTTTCGATCTTTATATTCTCAAAAGTGTGTGTTCAGCTATTGCGCAATGGCATTATGATTCAGCAGAGTCGAATCACTCTGAAATATGTGAGTAAACTAAAAAGAAAATGGAAACAACAACAACAGCAGCAGCAACAGGTGATAATGTGACTAAGCTCTAACAAAGGTGAGTCATAAGAAGCTGAATCAAAAATAAAAATAAACCGACTTTTATAGGTGACTACAAGAAGGAACGGGGGCTCTTCCAAGGAGCGGGTTCATAGAGTTATTTGGAAGGAATATGTGTGATGTGTATAAAAATACAAGGCCAGGAACATTGCTTCTTCTGTAGTGGCTCCTCAGCTCTGGAAAAGCTTTTAAGATCCATCTCAAAACCCATTTTTATTCAATAGCTTTTTAATTGTTTCCTTTTTTTTTTTTTTTTTTTATTTTAATCTTGTTTGCACATAATGTACGTCTTTATGTTTGTGTGTGTATATTGTATGTCTGTTTTTGTGTTTACTCTTTCCAGTGCTACATCGGTATAACCCAGAAACACCATGTAACCTCAAACACACAGTGACATTCTGGTTTTTACTTTGCAAACCCGTCCAGATAACTGAGTAAACCCTACAGTATTGTGACACAACAGTCTGGTAATGAGAATGTCCACTTACTCAACATGTCTTGCGGCTTCATTGCATTATGGTCTATTATGACTGATGGCGGTGAGGAAACTGTAGAACAACTGTGCACAACTGACACAGGCTCTCCAGACCGTGGTGAAGTGAAATGTGCTGATGACTGATCCTTTTGACAGGATGTCATCTTCAAACGATGCCGTTACTTGTGTGGAAACATCTCGGCGTGACTTCTCGGCACTGACGTTATCCAAACAGCGTTAGGACACTTGCGCCGGTAGAAACAGAAACCGCCAAAAAACGTGAATCTGAATCTGAATCTACATTTACAAGCTGCTGCTAAAATCCCGATTTTACAACCACGACATCCGTCCGACGACATCACCCAACACAGAAGTGGTGATGTAACAGAAACTCGGCCGGCCAACGGTGTAACTCGTTCACTCACTCAGTCAGTCAGTCACGGACATTCGGGGACGTAGCACCGGACCATAAAAACACGAAGCAGGCAAACTATATTTAAAAATCCCATTTAATTTGTGGATACGATCTCGGGAAGCAGTTTACAACCTTAACTCAACATGCAGTGACCATAAAGACACGTCACAAAGATGTTAAAGGTGGGAGAATAAGATTAAACCAAGGCGGTAGGCAGTTTTGTGTGTTCACAGTGATTATTAGTGTTCTAGTTACTCACAAAAAAAAAAAAAAAAATCAGTCATAAGTCCTGTGAAGGGCTGTGTTCTGACGCAGAACAATCAAGCTTATAAAATAGAAACATTAGGATAGTTTTTTTTTTGTTTGGCGGGTGTGATAGTGGAAAGAAAATGTACAAAAGAGGAAGAATATTGTGGCAGTCAAATAATAATAGTGTCCAAAAATTCACTCCGGATGTTGTTCTTTAAAAAAAGAAAAAAAAAAAAAAAAAAAAAAATCAGGTTTATATATGTAGCTTTGTGGCGCTGATACTGCAGGAGCTGTGGCGTCCTCACGTCTGTTCTACGCTGCAGAGAGTCATCTCCACTGTGTGCTGGCACCTCAGTCAGGAGACAGGAAAACCCATCTGTGGCACAGCTACCGGGGTCGTCCAGAGAAAAACAGTGTACCTTTTTTTTTTTTTTTTTTTTTTTTTTTTTTTGAAGAGGTCTCGGAAAGCGACCTCAATAAAAACGCAGCTCCGGTTTCCGGGAAGCCTCTCGTACCAAGCTCGAGTGAAGCAGCATGCTTGACAATATGGTTACATACACAAATGAAGCCTTTTTTTTTTTTTTTGTTTTTTAAAAGTCTACTTTGGTACCTAAATCCTTCTGCTGTAGAGTTAACTCTCATCCACATCACATCTACAATTTACACTGTTTCACTAAGTAACAAAGCTGTAGAAAATACTGTCTTTAAAACCAGGTCGGCTGAATCTTCTGAATTAAAAAAAAAAATGGCACAAAAATGCGTTGATGTTGTGTGTAGATGAGGACAACTTTCCACAGTTCGGGGTCCTCGGGGGCAAAGGTGGAACACCGTTGATTGCCATTTTTCTAGAGGCTTTCAAAGCATACGCAACAATATTCAACAAAGAATCCTTTTCACTTTGCTATGCTGTAAAAAGGTAAATTATCTATATAAAAACTCCAAAAGACTGTACAGAATAAAATCATTGGGCGCAGGTCTGCTCGTTCATCTGATAAGGCACAATTTCCTACGTGTATTCCTTGCGAATAGTGTCCACCGGCCTTTTAATGTCGCTCTTCTCGAAGGAAAAAACAAAAACAAAAACAAAACAAAAAGAAGCTCTCTTTCACACGTAAGCGCCCAACGCTGCGTGGAACTCTGTGAGACACTGGACGAGCTGCTGAAACTTGGGCCTCTCCTCGGGGTCCAGGGCCCAGCAACAGGCCATCACTGCAAACCTGCCACACACAAGAGGGGGGGGGGGCATGGGTCAATTCAACGAGCAGCTGAAGGATAAAACCGGATGTTGTTAGGTTCGTGTGGAACAGGGTGCACTGGTGAAGAGAAGAGGAATGTCATGAGACAAAAATCTGGAGCTGGCATCAAACTCAGGGCGTTGTGATTTTATGGTACGCTCTCTTAAATGTGTTACACTTACACCTACAGTACATGTTGCATTGTCCTGAACCAGGAGCCGTCGCCTGTGCAGCACTGATGTACGTGAGCGAGATGTAATCATTTCTTAATCAATGCATGCCCTTAAATGTTCTACTTTGCAGCCTTGAATATTTTGGGAAGGAAAGTCGTCACCTATTGTATTTAGAAGGAAACCATGTTCAGATATTTGACAGATTTCAGGTAATCACTCGTTCAGGCTTTTTCCAGCATAAGTGTTTTTTTTTGTTTTTTTTTGAGATGTCAAAACAATAAAGTGTTCTGTTGGGCCCAGTGACAAAAAAAATACAGATTTAATGGGAGTTTAATTGAAGACATTGTGATATATAGCTGTGTATCGTCGACATAAAGGTGCAACAGAATGCTATGGCTATGAAATAATTAGAAATTATAACTTCATTTTCAACCCTGTGCTTCTGAGTTCTGCTTTAATTTGTAAATAAATACTGACAGAAATGATTGATAATTTAAAAATAATGAATAACTTCTTTATGAAGTTAAGGCCGTCAGTGTCAGACTCGTGCACAACCGTCACCAAAAGCTCAAACTCTCACTGATTTCAGTCAATCATGCATCATAGTTCAATCCACCTGGGTGGTCCACCACTGCAGCCCTAATCTGAGCCAGGAAACACCCTGTTATTATCCAGCAGCGAGAGGGTGACAGCCTCATTCAACTTGATATTGAGGAAGTACTAAATAAATAATAATGCCGTGGAGGGAAAATGATGCCTGTGGGCACAGGCTGCTCCGTTTCTTGACAGCTGCAGGATGTTGATAAGCTTCACATTAATCAGTGCTGGTAGTGGATGAATATTTCGGTTTGATTCAGCTCTCCTACTACATAAACAACGTGTCACTAACACCACGCTACATTTGGTGAAAGCTCAAAAATAATAAGATAGGTGGCGGCTAAACATATAGGTGTTTGCATCGCTGCAGGTGTGCCGCTGTCTGCAGGTGTGAAGGCCAACGACCAGCTCTGTCAATTACCTGAACTGTCAGGCACAAGAACGTGTGGTACAATGGTAACTCATGACAGGCTGCAGTGAGGACTGACTACTTATTAGTACATTTAATATAATAATCAATAAAAACATCTCCATGAACAGGAGGTTCCTTGTTATTCCTTGAGAATTAAAACATATTTATTGTGTATTTGACTCCATATTGCTCCTAACTCTTTATTGGCTGCTGTTATTTCTGAATGTTAAATAATCCTTATCATCACATGTGTGTTGCTGATCCTCTGATCGTCTGTTTGATATTATACTTTATCCAGGTTTCGGCTGGAATGGCAAAAAAAATATAGTGATTACAAGTGTAACTTATTATCAGTTTGTACTCTTGATTAATCTGATGATTTCTCTTTTTTTATATATAAATAATAAAATGTCTCAGCAGACACGGTAACATCTTCATGTTTTGTCATTTTGTCACATTGGATTTAAAACAATGTAAGACGAGGAAAAGCCGAAAATTCTTAAATCTGAGGAGCCAGAGAACATCTGGCTTTTTGTTTTAATATACACTCAGCTGTCAGTTTATTAGGGACACCTAACTCAAACTAACAGTGTAATAGCAGTAGTAGCAGCAGTAAACTCTGGAGGCTGTAGTTTGTGGTGCCATTAACGTGTATTGTGTTTTGTTCACAGGTGTTCCCATTATTTTGTATAAATATATTTAATACGGATCAACAGCACCACAAACTACAGCCTCAAAAATGATCATAAAGTTGAATCAGTGACTCTTCAACACAGCTTCATCTCAATCTGAACATTATAACCTTGGTGAAGGAGGATTTACTGCAGGACAACCATCAACGGCTTAAACTTGAATGATTAAGTATCATCTTAAATGTTTTTCCGGCTGGAACTGACTGACTGATCTTATACTAACAGCTGGTAACGACTTAAAATCTTTATTTTCTCGGAAATCAATTAATTAGAATCAGAAAACGTCGTGTTTGTATTAGTGTGTCTGTGACTGTGTGTGTGTGTGTGTGTGTGTGTGTGCTCTGTGAACCAACGTACAGTTCATCTGGACAGTTGATGGGTTGTGCTATTCTGTACCCATCCTTCAGGTAGGCCGACATCTCGAAAGGGTCAATGTCGACGTAGGGGGTCTGACCCAGGGTCATCAGTTCCCACAGGGTCACTCCGAAGGCCCACTGTGAAAACACACAACACGTGATTACCGCCGAGACCAGGGCCGCACATTCTTTTTTTTTTTTTTTTTTTAACAACATTTCCTAAATATAATCAACACGAGCGCTTGTCTTAAAAATCAAACAGGATAAACATAGCTGCGGCGCAGAAAGCCTGTGCTGCCCACTAGCATTCAAATACAAAATGTTCCACGGGAACAATGCGAGGAAATTATGTTGAAAAATTTATGCGGAATATAACTCATTGCCGCAAGTTTTTGTAAAGAAAAGTAAACAGGAGAGTGGCAGCTGTGTTTAAGGAGGCTGTGGGAGATCGAGCTCCCATGTCAGCGAGGGCCCGCCCTGCATGTTTTGTCCTGACCCTTCACTCTGACCTCACCAACGGAACAAGGATTTCCCCCCCTGTTCGTGTTCACAAGTGTTATTTCACTAGTAACCCACATCATCGGTCACTTACAGTAGGTACTGACATTACACTTGTTGTGTGGAATTTTGGGAGTCATGCTTATTCTTATCCTGACATTGATTTATAAAAACAATACAACAAAATGATGTATAGAGCCGGGTTCTGTTAGTGTGTCCTAACCTTTATTGGGGTGACAAAGGACTTCTAAAGAGGAAGTGAAGGGAGTGACTGAGGAAAGAGGGCACGGGGATGGGAGGGTTTTCTCAGAGGAAAAACACATTGTACAAGTCATCTACCCCGTTCCCAAACTGGGCCACTGCCAACATTCCCAACAAGGCCTAAACATGCCGACAGTCACTTTCTCATCCTTCCCCGGGTGGTCTCTAATGTGCGTAACCACTGACACAAGGGTACGGAGTATCTGTGTGACGTGTGATGCGCTGATGACGCTGTCCGGCTCCTGGTAAGCGTCAGTTTTTTCAATTAATGCAAGGCTTCCGTTTACTGTAAGTGCCAGGGAGGGAGGGAGGGGGGGAGGGGGTGTTTGCCACGACCCGGCATGGCTATATGAGGAATGCAGAGGGGCGGTGGCATGTCTGGCTGGTGTCTGAGTGGTGTCTCTGAGGATCTGTGAGGCTTCCCGTCTGCTATCGCCGCACCCGCTCAGCTATCCTGAGACGGGAAAGAGGGAAGAGCCAGAGACACATGGAGCTCAACACAGCTACTCCCTTAACACTGATACCTTGAACCACTGTCAAGAATGGCTTGAAAACAACCGGTGCCGTTTCCTGCTTTATGAATATGTTTTATCACTTAAAAAAAACCCTTGAGAGACAGGGAGTGTTACGCTGTGTAGGGTTGCATCTTTGAGCTGCAAGAAGTGAACTGTACATCAGCTTCTGCATTAACTTACCACGTCGCTCGCACTGGAGAAGTCGTTGTTGAGCAAGCTTTCCAGAGCCATCCAGCGAACAGGCCGGTTCTCATTGTCCCCTAGACAGTGGTAATCCATGGGAAATAGGTCTCGAGCGAGGGCATTGTCTGTAATCTTCACCTGCATGTTGTCGTCAATGCTGTCAGAGGTGGGGGGAGAGAGAGGGGACAGGAGATAATGGTACTTTTTTTTATTTAGTAATTAAATTCCAAACCAAATCACCTTAAACGCTGCAGGGAAGATCTGAGGATAAATGACGACAGCCGGGTCAGAGACACTTACACGCAGTTCCTGGCGGCGAGGTCTTTGTGTATGACCTCCCTGCGAGCCAGGTAGCTCATTCCACATGCAATCTGGATGGCCATATAAACCAAGTCTTGCTGAGAGATCGCCTGAAAGGAAACGAGGGAGAGAGAGAGAGAGAGAGAGACAGACAATGTAAAGCTGAGAAGGAGGAAGGCAGGAAAAATAAAAAAAAAAACAGGAGGGAGCGGGGACAGGAGGCCACAGCCGACCGAAATTAACTGCGGTGAAATTGGTCGTCTGAGTCAAATTGTTCTTATTTCCTTTAAAATTGTGACATTGTCAACTTGGGGTCAAAGATGGGAGTTGCACATACGAAGACTATTTCGGTCTTTCAATGCAAGCATAAAGGCTAGTCGTCTCAAAAACAGAACTAACACGGGGGCCCTGCAAAAGGCTGCAAAACAACAAAGAGAAAGCAAAAGGACATTTGAAAGGTAATCGGTTGCACAATTATCCACTGGTGTTTTCAGCCATGCGAGTAGAATGGTTACAACTGGTTAAAATTTGGTACAAATATCCAACGTGGAAAGATCCTGCTGATGTTTATGATCTCCTGATTTTTCCTCTAATGCCTCCAAGAGGTTGGATGGATGGAAGGTCTCCCATAAAACGTGGTGACACATTTATGTTCTCCTCAGAATGAACTGTAATATTTCTTATTTTCTTTTTTTTATTTTCATATTTTCATCAACAGGTATTTTGTGTTTAGTGCTAAGTAGCATATTAGTTTGTAATTAGGTTGCTAAACTAAGATGATAAACATGGTGAACATTATACCTGCCTAACATCAGCATGTTAGCATGTTGATATTAGCATTTAGCTCGAAGCGCAGCCTCCCAGAGCTGCTAGCACGGCTGCAGACTTGTTTTGCTTCCTGGTCGAGTGAACGAAAGCAACACGCTACATCAACACCGAAATGTACAATCATATTATAAATATTGCTGAATAACTCTGTATGCAAACAAGGGAAAATGATCTGACTGACTCTGGTCAGGTTTGAGCAAGAGTTTAAAAAGACTTTTTTTTGTTTTTTGTTGCAGCTACGGAAGGCCTGTAAACAATGGCTTGGCCAGAAAATGTGTCTGAGAATACACTAATCAGTGCACAGAGAAAGAAAGACCCCTGACTGCTCACAAGGTGAGGCAGGTTCTTTAGATATACTATATATAAACATCCTGTATAGCTCGAAAGACTCCTGAACTAACAGTCACATCACATATTAATGCACACGTTCATATTTTTATGTACTAGAGGCAGCTAGCTGCGTGAACCCAGGCCGAGGCCGAAATTTTCTGGCTGTTTTAATCTTATCTGATTGCGGACACTGTGATATAACCGAAATTAATGAATCCTCATAACACAGAAAAACAAAGTCTTGGCAGGCCAACGAACAGAGATAAGAACATTTTAAATCAACTACTTGAGCCAAACTGAGAGACGTGCGTAGCTGGTACCAGACCGTCAAGCACCATGCAAGTGGTTGTCAGTGGAAAAACGACAACTATGGAAAAAGTTGGCACTCAACACGTATTTCCCTCCTAGTTTTACCTTCCAAACCAGATGTTCACTCTCTGACTGAGGGCTACTCTGTAGTGTTGTGCTCGCTCAGAGCTTTATCTCCTCCATACAGATAAATTCCTGATTTATAGCTCGATGTTTCTTGCACTGGCACAACTTAATGACTATGTCTTTGTCTCCAACAACTGCCAAAAGTATATAATGAGATTTTTGAGAACGGAGGTGCTGATGTGTTACCTGAGACTTTACAAAAGGGGTTTTGATTAATGCAAATGGATGGCAAGCTTCGTCTTGTGATCGCAAAGTGTTTGCTACATCTGTATTTCGCGGGTGATTGATTGGTCGGATCCGTGTTGAGTCTGTGCCAAGCACATCAAAGACTCCCTGAGGTTAACCCATACAAAAGCCTGATTGTCTTTACATAGCAAATAAAAATCTCTGCCCTGAGCACTGGCATTACCACTATATCAACAATCCTTCTAATAACAGTGTAAACAGTAGTTACTGGTGGGTGTTACTCGGTGCTGACTGATGCAAACACACAAAACATTCTTTCAGGCTTGACACTCGGAGAGAATCCGACTCTTCTTCCAATTCGGGGGATTTATTTGAATAGCTTAATAAACGTCTCAGTGCGATGCCATATGTGATTTGCACTCAAGCGTTTAACTTAATGGTTTAATAAGGGACTCAAAGCTCCAGGAAATGTTAACTGAGTTGAAACCTCACCTGCGGGTTGTTAGCCTCAGCTAGCTTGCACTGCCGCAGGAACAGCTTGAGATTCCCCCAAGCCATGAAAGGCAACAGCACCATCGGCTTCTCTCCGTCCTCCGTGCACACGTGACTTATGGGCAATAGGTTTCTGAAGGTAGAGAGAAAAATCACATATGCAGTTTTGTGAGGTTTTGCTGCACGTCTGCAAACAGGTTCTTGGAAGTCGACAGCACATGTTGAAAGGGTCATCCAAACCACTGCCAAACTGTGAAAGAGGAAGTCAGCAAATCTTATCGACTTTGCTGACCTCAGAAAGAGGAAAACAGAGATAACAGGCCATTGTAATGTCAATTCTTTTCACATAAAAACAGTAGAATTAAGGTCCAAGCCTGCTATTAACTTTGGGGCAAAATGTGCTTCACTGCTGCTGCTGCAGCTGCAGTAATTTCTGTGCATTCAGACTGTGAGCCCGCGATCAACACATTGAAAAGGTTTTTTTTAATCGAGGAATAAAATGATTGTATTAAAAGAAGCCACAGGATAACAAACAACAACAACGTGTGTCTGTGTCATTTATGTTGGAAAAAAACATGTTTTCTTCTGTTCAAAGCGTATGTTACAGTTTCTGCTCTATGTGTAAACATGTGGTCTTATTTCGTCAACGTTTAAACCGAGCCATTTTAAAGACGACCACAGGAAATGCTCTGACGGAATACAGTGTTGGGTTAGGAGTAAACCAGCATTTTTGCAGCTACTTTGAGAACTGAAACTGTTACAAAAGTGGACAACAGTGATGATGGAGACACCAGCATATGTCCATAACCATGCTACAGGTTCATACTGTGATTTGGGGATATTGATAAGACACAAACTATATCGGTGTTCTTTTTATTTAACTTTGTTTTTTTCATCAATCAAATAGAAAACAAACTGCCCCAAAAACAGTTATACTTGTTATTTGTGTATGCGCCGACTTACCTATGATGAAGTCCACGTAGTTTGCAACTTTCAGTCAACATCATGGTCACCTGCACCTCAGACGCATGATCTATGAATGTTATCAGAGACAGAATCTGATTTGAATGACCTTTCAACGACCAAACCCTGGTTTGCAGTAGCAGTCGGAAAGGTGAGGGTAGATTTACTGTGACTCCATGTACTGTTTGATCTTTTTTTAATTTGTTTCCCCGCACAGATTCCTCCTCCAACAGTCATTTGTAGTGGGAAACTGGCTTGTGCCAAATTTGAATCCTCATGCACCTCTGCCATCATGTGACACGTATGGAAAGCAGTATTGTTCCCTTCCCAAAAGGAGCATGAGGAGGAAGTAAAGAGTTTAACAAAGCCAAGACTGGCATGAAGATATTGTTCGCTGAGTGGTATCCACCCCTCCCTGAGTAAACATGAGAGAATGGAGAGGTCAGGGGGCAACTGGCAGAGAAAGCTTGCACATGCCGCTAACAAACAACCTGACAGTCCCACATAAAGGAAGCTTTTTGCTGGCGTGCAAAACCTGCAGTGCAACTAAGACTTATAATTAATTCACTGTCAAGTTTTTCAGTGTTTGCTGGACTGAATGGACCATGTAAGGCCATGTGCTGAAGCCATTAGAAAAGCACCTTTTCTTTCTGATAGACAATGTTTGGTTAACAACCTACTGTACTCACCACCAGGGCTCACTTCAAAAACTGTCAACTTAAGTCTTAGTATGTTTCAATCCGCTGACCTTTGTCATTCCTCCCACGCCTTTGGCATCACAGCGATGTCTCAGTCTAATGACGTTCACTGAGCATTACAGCGTTCCCTTTGCCAAACCACATTTCTTAAAAAACCCACAGTGACTTGCACATTAATAGAGATGGGAAAACTTACAACACACTTGACTTGACAATATTTTCATTTCGTTGACAACTGAGGGTTGTAGCCAGGACAGAGCGCCTACCTTTCACCGTCTTCACAAAGACCTGCTTTTCCTTAGTGGGGTCCTTTTCGTCCAGCAGCACGCCGTGGAAGATGCGGCCAAACGTCCCTGTCAAAGACAAACCACATGTTTTTTTTTTTTTATCAGAGCAAAAAAGGGCAGGAGAGAGAAAGCCAGAGGCCTCACATTCAAAGATCGAAATGTCACCTCACTCACTGGCCGCCATGCCTGGCTGATCTGTGGACTTGGGTAGACAGGCCTCCGCTAAAAAATGCTTTGTCTTGTAATGGGATTAGGCGGTTGTGGCTCCTGTCTTCACTGACAGGAGCCAAAACAAGAGCAATTCAGAGGAGCTCCGAGGATCTTTCATCACCTAGAACGATTCAGGAGGTACATACGACGTGAAAAGGCCAAGTGAGCAGGTTCATCATCCCCTTTGTCTAAACTGTCACCCCATTGCTCCGAGGACTTTACCGAGGTGAATGCCATTTCAGAACATAAACCATCAATGTAAACTCCTCGGGGCCCTTCGGGCTAAACCGGGCCTTGTGTTTCCACAGGAGAGGAGGCGAAACATAACAACGGGGTTAGTGTTTAACTGTCTCCCTCCTGCCCATACCTTCTCCATCGAGCCTGTCTGGACCTGCCGGCTCCCAAAAAACAGAACTCACACAGAGTTCAACCACCTCCAAGACATGGCCTATATGTCTTGTGTCAGTTGTTTCTTAGTTATTATCTCTCGTCTTTTAAATATTTATTCTGAATTTTACTGACATTTTTTTTTTTTTTTGTATATTCTGACAGGACCCTCTAACAAAGACCTGAATGAAATTTAAAGTTTTCAAACAGAAAGTGACGTTGTGTAAAGAGCAGGGAACAACTGTCCACTCACTCAAAGATGTCTGATCAACACACCCTTTCAAAGTACATTTACTCACAATCTATAAAAGCTCGTCACTTATAAAAGGGTGCAGTAGATAGTCAACCAAATAGTAATCTTACATAGAACAGAGGCCACAATACAAGGGTATTGATCGACCCAGTATATACTGCTGATAGTTGCCCGCTAACACGCTAACACTGCTGATGCTAATATGCTGATGTTTAAAGAGTAAAATCATCCTTTTTATTATTAGATATTTCTGCATGAAGCAAAGTGGTAGATTGGACATTCTTTCAGCCACCTTGCTAGCTTTGCTCAGAAATATTATATATAAATATATTTCTTTCTGATTGAGAAGTTGTCATATCCAAAAATATGTAGTAGGCTAAAATAATAATAATAATTTGAGCAGAGAATAATACCTATGTTCAGAAATAATGACAATAAACCACTAAAGGTCTTAAAGTGAACATTTAAAAACAGAACACCCACACTTTTCTCCTCTGTTGTGTTGTAGTCACCCTTGGGCAACTATTACATCATTCACACAGCCACACTAAACCCCAGCGTGGGCAAATCTCCAGATAGTGAAGTACAGTCTTGTTCCACACCATCGCTCCATGACGATGCTGAATCGCCTCCAAAAGCATCCGGCGTCTAAAGTGAAAAAAGTGACTGATCGAGCCAAAACCGGGAACCAAAGAATTGTGTTTATCTTTGATACGAAGCCGAGGAAGGAGATTTAGAAACTTCTTTCTGTCAATATGTGACATGCCTCAGGAGGAACAAACCTTTGCTATTTTGGGCTTATGGCAAGTTTTCACTGACACTGATCTGATGAAGAAAAAAAAAAAAAAGCAGCATTCATGTTCATAGTTCACCGTTGTGAACTATGAACCTTGTCTTGTTTTTTTTTTTTTTTTGTTTCTTTAACCACAGACATAAACAACGTATATGGATATGAGAGAGTTTATAATTAACCTTTTGCTCTTATAGGACGATTGAGATACGTGCAGTACAGTGACACCACTGTACCTCAGCTCTGTGTGGCGCCTGGTTTACCTGTAGTGTTATCACACTGGACAAAACTATGTTTATGTTTAGCAACTCCTGAATTATCTCTGCACCTGTCTGAAGAACAGTCAAATTTGCGTCATCTTCCTTGTCTCACTGACGAGCGTCACTGACGATATCAGAAACAGCTGATATCACTGACGATCCAGATTTTTATTGACACAAAAATCTTTTTCCTCATTGATATAAAAACAAACTGCATTTACAGCTTTGTTGTTAATGTGGCCAAAGGTCTCCCTGAAGAGGAGTAAACACACCTATGTTTAAAATAATAGATGGCTGTTACAAGGAGAATGCAGCAGCTGCTTTTCTTGTAAGTTTCTATCTCTGTCTTTTCCACTTTTTAAAGCTCGGGGATGCAAACAACACGGGTTAAAGCTGGCATGTCTGTACTTGCCAATAAGGCGCTACATTGATCTATACTCTGTGTCATATTCTGATGCACCTCCTCTATCAGCTGCAGGCTTTTGTCTAAGCTTCAAGTTGAGCCGTTTCCTTTTATTTCATACCTACATATACAGGTGGAGGACACAAGAAATTTACTTTTATTAGAAATTTAAATCATAAAAGGCTCCTGCTGCACGTCATCCCTGAGAACATTCAATGAATTTAATTTAAAGAATGAACAAAGTTATCAGTGGCGGAGGCGTAGGTTTAAGCCTTGTAGCCGACTGAGCACTGACATGATGTGGAGTCACTCTGACAGCAGCTCTTAAATGTTGGAAGACAATAAGGTGATTTCCTCAGACTGTCAGGAAGCTTTAGTCCCTCGCCTCAGAAAATGAAGCAGTCTTGCAGTATAAGGTGTTAATAATAATAATAATAATAATAATCAGATATGTGCATGTGTCTTTCCAGTCAGATTGTAGTGACCTCTTTGAACTCTAATTCATTATCACTTTATTTGTATGTCTCTCTTTCTTCCTCTCTGTTTTCATGTTGTTTGTGTAAGTGCAAATAAATAAATATATTTTCAAGTTAGGTTTGAAGTTGGAAATTTTCAAGGGCAATTCTCAGAACTCCCTCAATACATGGTGCTGGAAACTCTCCTCTACTTTCCGAAGAAGGGAGTTGCCAGTATTGGTCCTGCGAGCACAAAGGTTGGGCTTTCCTGCCTCCAACTCTGTACGCCTCTCGTTCAACTGACCAGCTTGGAGGTGACCGCTGGTTAACATCTAGTCTTAATGAGCCAAGTTTCAGCCACTATTTCCTCTTTCTGTTGTCAGACAAAGGAACAACGTGTAAATGAGAACTGCTTTATTGTGGATTCAGCTGTATTCAAATACTGTCTGTGTGAGCACAGAGAGGAGGAGAGAAGCCAACAGATAAGAGGGCTGAAACCGGCTGACAGTGGGCAGAATGTAAATACAACACAGAGACATCATGATTATGGTAATTAGCGCATTAAGTCATCTAGCAACAGTTAGCGACTTTTCCAGCAGGTTGTAGCTGCTTTCCGTAGTAAACAGTTTTCTTCACAGCTGCTTCGCGACAGTTTCCAGCGACATCCTCAATTTCATCGCCCAGTTTCCTTTCCTCAGTACTTATTTAAAGCACCTTTGGCAGCGATTACAAGGAGATGCAGTTTTTAAACATTATTTTTTTCTGATGCCATGTACAACGACATTTCTTTAAGCCTTGGGGACACAGGGAGAGGATTAGTACTTTTCCATAACAAAGCAACAGCCATGGCCAGTTTGATAAACTGCACCTACAGACCTTTAAGAATCTTCATTACTGGATCCTAAATAATGTTTTAATTTATCATATTTCCAGAACATATGAATAAAGTTACCTGTCTCTATTTTGCATTAGGGCTAAGCTCTGAAATTGATTAATTTATCATATTTATCCTATCTGGTGTAAAATAGGGCTAATGGGGGTAAATAAGAGCTTATGGCAGCCATTATATAAGGTTAGTGTCTCCTCACATAGTAATTCTCTGTCACCATCTTCAAAAGTACAGTCCAGGTCCTGCTCCCATTTGGTGCTTGTGGTTCGGGGGTTTTAGTTTCTGTGGAGGCCAAAATTCAGTTGTATGTCAAGGACAAAATGCCGCAGGGATATTTGGTATTTGGTTTGTCAATCGGGAGGCGCTTTGAGGGCGTAGAGCTTCCTCCCTGAAATGTTCTTATGAAGCGCCTCATGTGTAGACTAACTGTTCAAAAGGAGATAAGTATATTATGAATTAATTCCCTCGTTTGTGCCACATCTTGATTGTGGCATTATTTGGTGGAGCAGGGTTTGTTTGGGAGAGAGAATTACCGTGAAGTGCAATAACACCATTAAGAAGAGTCTGAGTGGCAAACCAGATTGAAGATATGTGTTTGATGCCGTCTCCGTTTGTTCCCAAAGCATTGGAGTTAACTAGCTCAGCCTGCCAGAACCATATTGCCCCTGAGCGAATACAGCCCCGGTAATACAACCGAAAATCAGGGAGCTTCATTCTTCCACACTGGGGGGGATATTGAAAAGGGTTTTGATTTTTCATTCTAGGAGCCTTTCTCCTCCAGATGAATGTAGATATCATCGTCTGCAGCTTCCTGGGGACGTTCTCGTGTGCAGATACGAGGAGGGTTTTTGAGGAAAGTCAGGTAGGATGTTCCAGTCATTCCTGTTTTAATAAATTTGCGGAAATTTCTAAAAGTCTGTTTTAGCTGATACTGAGTGCAGACTGATGAGGGAAGAATGCATTTGAATGGTGGAGGGGTCTGAATACTCCCTGGATGCACGGTATATGATGTCTGTGTATGTATTTAGTGATATACGACGGTAATTACAGCCACAGCCACATCTCCGCCGACCTGTCTCTCAAAACCACATCTCACATGCGCAGCTAGACTCCTGAACAAAGCAGAGGGAAGAAATATTAACCACAACGCATTACACAATCTGTTCTCTCGGCTCTTCAAAGAAGTGCTCATCACACTCTCTGACTTTGCCTTCCACTTCTCTGTGACACTGTCGAGATAATGCGCGCACTCTTCTGAAGAATATCAAAGTCGTTTTGGAGCTTTTAGAGAGAGAGCGAGAGAGAGAGAGCGAAGAGGAAAGAGGGGGGCAAGAGAAACAAATACCTTCATGCAAGACATCTCGCAGTGTGACTCTCTCCCTTGAGATGGCGATGTCTTTCACTTTAGCTTTGGCCTCCATTAGAGTTACACTCCTCAGGTCATTCTTCTCTATACGGAGAGATGGGTAGCCTGGGAAGACGGGGGGAAAAACACAGACTCATGTTAAAGACACACATGATCCATATGTAAACAAAACACTTTTGAGCTGATTGACAGGTCTTTTAACTTGGATTAACACAAGAAAACAACCTGAGGGACTTCTCCTTTGCATCACTCTCCACAGACATATTTCTTACCGACTGAAAAATTTCTAAAAACACCAACCCCAACCACATGAATTCAAAGAATTCCAGCTATTACAAGAAACATAGTCAGCAAGACGTACATGTACAGTAACCTACACATGTTGCATCACAGCAACTTCATGCGAAGTCCTGTATTACAGCACTGCTGTTACATAACTTTCCTATGTACTCACTTCCATTAGCTGCCGGCTTACCGAGGTAGGAGAGAGTTTGGATACAAAACACACACACACACACACACACACACACACACACACTCGACGTCCCCTACATTGTCTGCACATAGATGAACAAACAGTGCAAACATGAAACCCTCCTATCTACACGCTCCATATGTACACAACATGTGAGTGATGAGCGATAACACCGTCTAACCTCCTGTGTCCTCAGCTCACTGCTGCTGAGCTCGACTGCCAGGCTGTGCGCAGGTGCTCAGACAGAAGGCGACGACAGTGAAACCCCCTTTTTGTTCTTGTGAGCTACATCTGATGCTTCGTACGAGAATATAAATGAAATGTATGCGCGAGCAAATGATCTAACACGTCCTGTCCAGGTCCAAACGTAAAGTATTGCAACATAAGTTATAAACTACTTTGATTTAAGGTTTAAATCTCTGCTGTTGCGTGTCAACTGTAAAGTATGGAGTGACACAGTGCAGGGCAATGCTGCCCCCTGCAGGTCAAACATGAGAGCACCATTCATTCAAACAGTGAGTGGAAAAGAATACTCCTCTACGACACAGCTGAAATATAAAGTGTACAAACACACAACACTGGTAATAACAGGGACAATTGCACAGAAGTTAATTAGGGGGACAATAAATAAATAAATTAAGTACATAAAATTTGAAATATTACATATTTTCTATATATTTTATAGGGTGTTTATATGCTGTGTACTGTTTCCACTGATGCAGGAATATTCCTCAGCCTATAGAGGTCAGTGTGTCAACAGCCAGAAACAGCGGTGCAACAGTTGTGCCGTGCCCCAAAATCCACAATATTAACTGTATATAGTACGTGCTTCACACTAATCTTAATAATAATCTGTTTTTGCAGTTATTTTACAAGAAATCTATATATCTATTATCATTTTATAGTAACAGGAAATAAAACAATACCTGACATCAAACGTACTGGAGCTGTTTCACTACCACTCACCATTAATTTTAATTTTCTTTTTCAGTTAATAAAATGAAGTATACTTGTGGTAAATGGACTGCACTTATATATTAAGCTTTTCTAGACTTATATCTTTTGCAACCTACAAAGAATTAGTTTAGTGCATGGATCTATGACCCTGATTAGGGCTCTTTGAGTGTATATAATTGCTAGATGTGGGGTGACTTCAGCCTAATTGGCTTAATTGAGTTGTTAACACTAACATGGGAGGTTGAAGAGTATAGTTTCATCATCAGTCTGAGTCTCACTGAACACTTTGGGGAAAAAGGACATAATCACAGCAATTATGTTTTCTCTAACAATAAGAATTATTCACGTAATGTCTGTGCACTTTTTTTGTTAATGGCAGGGCTGAAATTAATGAGTGTTTTAATCATCAATTATCAGAGTGTTTATGATGCATCAAATAATTGGTCTATCTATAAAATGTCATGAAATAGTAAAAACGCAAGTTACCAGAGGCCAAGGTAACTTTTTCACTGTCTTGTTGTGTTTATTAAAAACAGAGAAAAGCAGCAAATCCTCACATTTGAGAAGCAGAAACCAGAGAAAGTTCAGCACGTTTCCTTGATAGATGACTTAACAATGAATCAATTACCAAAACTGTCTGTGGATCCAGCATTTCATTAATTAACTATTGTTTCAGGACCTTTGTGTGACTTCTCTGTTAAATACCAAATGCCGAAAGAAGTATTTAACTACAACACACAGCACAACAAGGCGCCAGACGAAGGTGAAGAAGCAGGTTAGTGTGAAGCAGGTGAGATGCATCGGTCGGGATTCTGAGGGTCAGATCAGTCACCAGGAGGAAGGGCAGCCTTCCGGTTACTGAATTTCTTTCTTTTACCCTGCTGATCACAACGCTCCAGCTAAAGGCAACGACACGTATTTATCCGGGAAGTGTAGAGTTCAGAAAACTACGAAGAAAACGTGGTTAAAACGGTGCACATGACAACTTTATAGAGTCTTAAGTCGTCTCTCCGAGCTTCAGTGTAACTTACTTTTGGTTTCATGAGGGGGAGCACCGGGGTTTTGGAAGGAGGAGGCAGCAAGCTGGAGTATGGGTGCAGAACCAGGGTGATTGTCTGATGGCAAGAGGAGAAGGGGGAGGGAGAGGAGGGTGGGAGAGAGTGAGAAAGAAGTGTTTTAATGGACAGCTCACTCAAATTACAACATGACCTGAATGGATGAAGGATGTATGCCGTAGCTGCAAATTTTCAGCTCATACAAGAAACATCCATCAAACCAGGCATGCATGCAAGCTGGGTAAACTTGCCCATCAGGAGTTGGGTGGATGGTGGTGCAAACAGTCAGTTCAGCAAAGCATAAGACACAAGGAAAAAGGCAAGTGGGTCAAACGAAATGCACAGGAGGTGAGACGTGTTGCATCCACTAGAGGGCAACGATGGATCATACACCGACAACGGGGGGACACAAAAACAGCTGGAGTGCTTTTCCAGCGGTTTTCAAAATGAACCACAGAGGTTTCCCGCCAAGCTGAGAAACCCATATGGCTATTTACCAAACTGCATGAGGAGGAAAATAACCTATGGACCTCACTGACAAAGTACTGTCCAAGGGATTCCTGTGGATTACATAAATGGGATTCTATGCCAAGAAAACTTTAGAAAAACCTGTTTTATCTCATTGGAAAACTGGTCACAGCGCTATATAATTTCTCTAAGACTGTACTGGTTATTTTCCGGTGAGAGTGTGAAGTCAATGGACACTAAATGTGCATTTTACAGGCAGGAAAGTGTCTCATATTACAATTATTGACAAATTATTAACAGCATTTAGTCATTGCTTCTGTTTCTAAATTAATTTTGAAGGTGTGGATGTACGAGGAAGGCTCATAGTCATTTTTCAGTTCAGTAGTAATTGTCCAACAACCACAGAGAATTATTCCGGCTCATAGCTCCACATTAAATAGCAAATTGTTTTTTTGGTTTTTTTTTGTACTGATTAAACAAACAAGATAAAAATTGTTAATTAGTGATCTTTAAAAAAAAAAAAAAAAGTGCTGGTAGGTAGATTTTGCTCCTATTGGCTAAAGCCACACAAGCAGTTTCCTCCTGATCACTAATTAAAGCCGTATCTCCTTTGTTTAATCTATCAAACAACAGACAAGTAAAAACAAAATGTGGTTTCACAGAGCGGCTGTTTTCCCATGATTCCAGTCTTTGTGCTAACATAAGCTAACCGGCTGCCGGCTGTAACCTTATATTTAATGAACAGACATGAAAGTGGTGTCGAATTTCTCCTCCAACTCCGAAAGCGTATTTCCCAAAATGTTGAACTGTTGCCTTCGAATGGAGCCGACGTCGACTATCGAAAATCTGTTTATTGCTAAGAAACAACAGACATGAACAGAACACAAATGAACTGAATGACAACATGTAATAGGCACAGGGCACATTATAGTCAGGTATAGGAAACGTTAAATGGGCTACGGACTAATAAAGAATAGTCATATCTAGAGCTGTGGTGGTAACCGTGGCGATGCTTTTATCACGGCAACCCTGACTCTCATTTCATGGGCCTATTGCTGCACTTACACTGCAATTTAAAGGCCAAATCCACACGATAAACAGAAATTGCCCAGTGTGCAATGTTTATATTGCAAAGCATGCCAGATTATTTCCACTTCCCACTAATACAATGCAGACTTACCCCATAATTACAGTGGGTGCAAGCCAAGAGAACAAGGGCTGGGTGAGTAAGCACAGTGCTACCTAACACCAACAACAACTAACAAAGAGCTTATTGGAGGCAGTGTGCTCGGGCTGAGATTCACTTACTGTCTAATAAAAAGCCACACCGGTAGATTAAATGGCAAAAGTGACAAACTAATACTAACACCGTTCTGAGGTAGGCAAGTTTAATATTTAGACTTCACACTTGCTGTAATGTTGTTACTGTACGTAGGTGTTTCCCACCACGCTCTATATTTACATCATTTTAGCGGATCAGTTTCTGCCAGCTCCAATATAAAAGGCCGCTTGTACTTCTCTAACTGCTGAACACTTGATGCGAGCTGACACAGAACACACAGTGACGACATTTACACATTGATCGGACAGTAATAGGTCACAAGGGTAATGGCGACAAAAAGAAAAAGAGAACATCACTGCAGGGACTGTGCTCTTCATTACAGTCTTATGACAGTAGTTAAGCTAACCAGGTCATTCAAAGTTGATTATTGCATTTGGAAAAGCATGCACATTTTGGGATGCCAGTGTGAGAAGAGGGAAAAAAAAAAACTAGGCAGACTGAATCAAACTGAATGTATTTAAGCACTTCTAAGTGCAATTCCAGATGTTTTTAGGATACAACGTACTGATGCAGCTAGTTATTGATCGTCTGGTTAGTGTTGTGGCGGGCAGAGGGAGTAAGATGACTTACTTGTGACAGGGGCTGCGTTGTTTGGAGTGTCAGCCCTCAGGTACTGTGTGGTCTGGGTGGATGGCTGCGACAGGCCCTGCGAGCTCCCACTGTCACTCACACTGAAAGACACCGAGAGGACGGACATGGAGTATTGATTAGAAGGCACCAGGATCATTATTACAAGTTTGAGTCCTTCCTAACCTCTTTGTAAGTCTTAACAAAAACAGGTTGTACCATTAATGAAAAACTCAAATATGTGTAAATACTTGATCTGTAGCCATGTCCAATCATTGTGTAAACAATAAGTAATTTTTCTGTGCTCAAACAATGTATTGAACATTTGATAAATGTCTTATTTATAAAAACACACATAAGTGAAATATACACTTGAACACCTAGCTAAAACTAATGCAGTCTAATACAACAGTCCTGCACTAAACCTTCACTTCAAGATCTGAAACTGTTTTAGAGAGGTGCTGATTCAACTGTATGATCAGTTTGTTATATTGCGCTAAACTTACAGGTGTTTCTATTATTCTACTATATACCAACAGTCCAGAACCCAAAGATAGATGGATGAGAGTAAAATATTTACACTTGAGAAGCTGTTTCCAGTTAATTTTGGGCATTTTTGCTTAAAAAACTTCAATGATTATTAAAAGAGCAGGTGACACATTTTCTGTCACATCAGCTGATCAGCTCCAAAGAATACCTTCACCCAACGTTCAAGCTAATCAGAAACCTTGAGTGATTTTAAAACTGAAGGGTCCAAGGTTGACAGACCATCTTTGTACAATTTAAACTTACCACTGCCTTGATTGCTAACCTCTCTCCAAATCAGTGGCAGGGGAGGATGTGCTGATTTAATTTCACACCGATATCTGATAACCTGCGTAGCTGCCTACAGCCATCTGGAGTGAAGATTACAGGAACCAAACAGCAAAGCTAAAGCGCAGGTTTCAACTTGATATAATCGTCTCTGTGGAGATGACCTATTTTTGTTGGTCTTTGAACAGAGAGAAAAAACTAACATAACTTTCACAGGTGACAGATACAAGGCTGTACATCTACTTAGCGGTGTTCTGGTTTTCATCAGGTTCAGTACGAGTGTGCTCTCCTTAGCTGATGTATAACGATGACGGTGATGTCTTTGGAACCAGGACAAACAAAAAAAAGAAACACACACCTGTCCTCCATCTCCACTCTCTTCATGCTGTGCAGGTGCAGGATGGCCAGGATGATGGCCACGAGGAAGATGACAATGCAGCAGACGCTCACGCTTATGTAGAACACCTGAGTGGAGCTGGTGGGGGTGGTGACGCCATCTACTGATGAAAACGGGCATCGCATTCACAATCATGGCAAAAAAAAAAGGGGTGGGGGGGGGGGCTTTGGCAACTATAGCATCACTGCACACAAAATACCATCATCATTACGAAAGCTTCAACGGTGTTAATATGAGAGAAGTAGAGCATAAATATGAGGTAATCTTTTGGGATAAAGAAACGAGTGAGAGAGAGTAGAGAGTGGGAAAGAAACTATAAGTGCACTCCACTTAGGGTTAATGGAGGCCTGGAGCAGCAGAGGCTGTGCCCACGGTCCAACGTCTGAGAGCTTTTCTCATCACCTCTCTAAAAGCCTCCGAGGGCCCCCAGGTTCCTTGGGCCTACCCAAGCAGAAGGGAGACAACCCACTAATGGTGCTTTGTTACCGGGGTAGTGAACTCACAAAGAGAATAAATCCCACTGGAAGAGGACAACCACCCCAAAAGGGAGGGGGCTGACAGAGCGCATTTCAATGGGAGAATGCATCCGTCTCTCTGCGCCCTGAAATCATATGCCTCGGTTATGGAAAGTTTGACTAATGTGCAACTGCTATAGAGGGAGACTTGTCAGTACTAATCCAGCGACCGTCTTATCAGCCTGATGCCACCTATGATAGTGGGAGCTGGTGGAGAGGGAGAAGTACAGACAAGATGAGAGAGTGAGATTACTTACAGTCAGGCCGCTGAAGAGTGTTATTGTTGAGAGGAATGGGAATCTTTGGGTCAGAATCTATTCCTGTTCACAGAGGAAAGAAAGAGAGAGAGAGAAAGAACAACCGTAGTGTCAAAAGAATAGCAGACTTTATTCACACACATATAATATTAAGTGCAGCATGTAGAGAAAAAACATGAAACTAAAAATGTCCTCAACAAAAGCTGCAATAAGTTTTCACTTTCACAGACTCAGGAAATAAAGAGCCTTGTATTTCCACCACATCTCATGAACTCCAAAGTAAATCAGACTGATGCCACATTAAAAAGCAGAATGTAAAAAGAAAAAGAACAGAAGCCTTAAGGAAAATTAAAAACACAACCAGAAGGGCTAAAATGTCCGTCTCCACAGCAGCGAGGACCTGTTGGGCATCTCGTCCTGCGTCTTTACTGAGTAAAAGCAATCACTGCTCATTAGAGGAGAATACAACAGAACTCTTGGTAGTTTATATGTAATTACATTACTGTTAATGAAATGTCAAATTCATTAAACAAACTTCTAATCCTGAGTTCTGATAATCCTAATATTGATGAGATAAAAGAAAGATAAAAAGCAAGAGTGAGGCTTGTGCTTTACTAATCAGCAACATCCATCCATCTATTTTCCATTCTGATGATTCCCTCTCTCACAAGCAGAGACTTTGTAAGAGGCCCCAGAGCAACAAAACCTGACAACCTGAGAGCTCCCAAGTTCCTAAAAAGGCTTTTGGCTTCCTTGAAAAGCTCCAGTTGTTGAAAATGTCTGTAAGTGACAAAGCTCCAGGCGCGATTATAAAAAACAGCAAGCCCGTGTCATTGTTTGTCCTCTGCTACAACACCACACGAACAGAGTTGACAGCCACGACTGCTCAACATACATTTTCAAGCGTACAAAGACTCCGTTATGGCTGCTAATTTGCCTCATGCTCAAAATAAGATGGAAATAAATTTGTTTCCATGGGGCAGACGGCAAGAAGCCTCTCGGGCCACATGTAATTATCTTCAGGCTGTTTGAAAATAGCACAGGACTGAACACAGACTGTAACTCTCCAAAGTATCGAACACACGGTGATGATAACATTCAGCTCGAATTTCCCCACACGATCCACAGTCTGTGTAGAACATATCATGAAGAAAAATCATTTGTCTAAGTGACAGGAGAGACCCAAAGACCCTGTTCACAGCAGAACGTATTGACTTGTCGCAGCAGCAGTGAGAGCACAGGTGGAGCTAACAACACTAATAACAATGGCTCTGCTTCCACTGAAGTGTCCCCCCTGCTCCACACAACCACCATTAATGTGGATAATTACACCTGCTCCGTGGCATGTGAAGACGCCTGCTCCGATAAAAAAAAGTCTACAGGTGGATAAATGATGATATCGATATGTTATTGTGATTCCACTCTTATTACAACTGAGGGTCTGTGCCGGTCTGGCGTTCCACACGTGTGCATTTCCCGAACTACACGCCACTGCATTAGGTGGCGGTGATGCACCACAACACTGTTTGCCAACCGCTGTAAAAAAAAAATAATCAAGAAGTAGAAGAGGGGAACAAGAGGAAGGCAAAATATAATGTGAGACCGCCTAACGGGAAATAGGAGAAC